CCCCCCCCCCCAGCCAGGAAACTCCTGGGTGCAAAAGCAATAAACACACTGACATGTATGACATAACAGGCTCCAAAGTGTGTGAGAAGCATGGGGAACCTCCCTCGGAAAGAAAGTCTTGCTTTGGGTGTACTGAAACTTCCTGATCTGCCATTGAGACATATCAAGCAGAGAAGTGAACTCCAAGCAAAACAGCCTAAATGTAAGAACTTTTCTTGAAAGCATGCTCCCCACCTGCAGCCTAACACTGTGTCCCTGCCCCGGCACATGGCCTGACCACTGAGGACATCCCCCCTGCTCGACAGGACACAGTGCCATTTTCTGTATCTGGATAGGAGTATCTGCAAGGCACCGTTGCCATCCAACATGCAGAGATCCCTGCGGGATGGAGGGTCAGGTGCATTTCTGGCTGGCTGGGTTTGTTCAGGCGTGGAGAAGACATGGGTCCCTGGAGGGAGGAGAGGCCAAGTAAAAAATGTGCGTAAGACCATGGCAGTAAAGATAATATTGAGTCCACATGTAGCTGAGTGATGGATGGTAGAAACGCCCTGTCCTGAATGGGGTCTCAGCTGTAGCTCTTATGGGCTGCTTTGAGGTAGAAGCTCTGACAGACTGAAGCATCCCGAATGTCAGGGCTGATGTACCCATCCTACATCAGGTCTGTGCCTCCCAGACCATGCATGGGGTCAGGCAGACCCAGGCATGCTCCCAGGCTCTCCAGGGCAGCCAGCCGGTTGGAGTAGAGTTCATGGGACAAGACAGCTCACATGGGGACCACTCTAGGAAACGGAGATGCATTGGAGGCTGCATCTCCATCTCACAACCTGAGCGTACACACACATTCCTGTGGGAAAGTGCTGAGTCAGAGACAGGACACAGGGGCTGTGAGGAAAGTGCTCCATGTTGTCACTAGCATGGGTATTGTCAGTCATGAGCCACCCCACAGCTTGCTGCTTGCTAAAAAGCTACTGGTGGATGATCATCCAGGCAATTCCTTTTAACAGGCAGGGATCTGGTGTGGTCATCACCTGCCTGGTCTTTGCCACTGTGTAGGGAGAAGCAGGAGAAGCAGTAGCAAAGTTTTGGCACAAATGAATGTGTAGACCCTGCCCACCGTACTCAGACTCTTCTTCTTGTCTCTCCAGGATTGCTCTCTGGAGTTTCTGTATTACCTTCAAGCTTCTCCCGTCAGAATAAAACCTCGGAAATTAATCTTTTCCTCTGACTACCACCTAGTTTTGCAGGCTTCTCTCATGGGTGAATGACAGAATGAAGGCAGCGCAGCAAAAGGCAATTTCATGATCATGCTTAATGTCCCAGAGCACTTTCTGAGACCACTTTTTGCCCTACAAATTTGGAGGAACTTCCTATGTTGGGCCCATGGCAGGAAAGCCAGGGCTGCTCAGGCAAAAGCGCTGTCTGAGAGAAGCTGGATGTCCTTCTGCAGCTTATTTCAAGATGTCAGCTGAGTGGTGCTGAGCAACCAACAAAGAAATAAGCCTTTCACAAGCAACGAACTGTAGAAGTCCCTTGGTTATCCCTGGTGGCACAACTTGAAACATGAACTTCTCACCTTATAGGAAATTTCAAGCCATAACAGCCCCATTTATTCAGCAATTCTGATCCATTGCCCCTAGCCGGTCATGTTATGCTGTAGTGCTTCCATCTCACACGTCATAACAACGATGTGGATTCCTGATTTGGCTCTTGCACTGATGCAGAGTCCCCACCATATTGCCCTTACTTCTGGACATCTCAGAGCTCAAAACTGGGCTCCTTTTTTTAAACACAAAAGCAAGATTCTCCTGCATGGCTTCTGATCCCTTCAGCCACCCCAACAGCAGATCCTCCTCTTTCATCCTTGTGGGTGTCCCCAGCCTGGAAGCTTTCCCTACCTGCCTGGACATCCTTTTCTGCTCAGGCTATAACATCGTCTTGGTAGGAAATGGTGTAGTTTTGCTTGTCATTGGGCTGGACAACTCCCTGCGTGAGCCCATACATTGCTTCCTGGGCAGGCTGGTGGTCATCAGTGTGGTGATGGTGACATCCATCGTCCCCAAGATGCTGAGCATGTTCTG